TATATTAAAAATATATATTTATTATTTTAAAAAAATAATGAAACTTCTGTTTGTAATAAAGAAATCTTAAGAGAAGCAACAACACTATTGATGGATTGTCCTGGATCAAACAAAAATAATAAATTATGCTTAGTAATTCTTTAGACTATTAAAATTTTCATCTTAAGAAAGATCACTCTTATAAATACAGTATATTTTTAAAGGCGTCAGTGATATAATGATAAAATTGTAACAATGGTGATATTAAAACAATAATTATAAAAAGCTTTTATTTGTTTTTGCACTCTCAAAAAGGAAAATCCTTAAACAATTTTATAAGTTTCTGTCAATTCTTGCAATTAGGTTTCATTTAGTTTCAATTTTTTAGTTTGGCATTCTTAAATTTATTTTTCATAAAAAATAAACTGTAAAAACTTATGTTTTTGCATATTACTGATAATTGCTTTATAAAAACTTCTCTTCAAGATAGAAACATCATTGCATTATAAGCAGAATATTCTTCTTCGCATAAAATTACCAAATGTTACAATCTAAAAAAGACATTTAATATTGATTACACAAATGAATAAATCATAAGTACTTACTTATTTCTCATGTTTATTCAATAAACTCATTTGAAAATTTAATAATAACAAACAGTTATATTATAAAAATATAATATATTTGTGTATGTTATCACATTACAAATCATATTTTAATTCTCATGAATATCTGTTTCATTTCATAGAAAGTTGTATATATTTTTTTGTTTTGAAAGTTTAGATAAAAAAGATTTTTGGCTATTTTGTTTCAGATTTGAAATCAAAATGTTAAATTCATTTCCATTCTACAAAATGTAATGGAATTAACTGCATTTCATAGAATGAAAGTACGATTTAAATTATAAATATAATAGAAATATTTGAAGTGAAAATTGTAAAATAAAAAAAGAAAAAAAAATGAAAACAAGATTAGAAAGAATAAGACAAATGTAAGATTTATGTAGAAATATTTGAAAATTCAAATGTTTTTAAAATTTTGGTGAAGTTTTCTTTAGAAAATAATACAGATTTTTGAACTAAAAAATAATACACATATTTATTCAGATATTTCCCTATCAGTATTTTCCAAATTGGGCGTTGTAACACTTTGGGGTGTTTCCTTACTTATAAAAGGGTGTTGTTATTGAATTGCCAACACTGCTTGGGAGGCAGCACCACTACAAAAATATCACATACACTTTAAATGATCAAATTCACTTCAAAACTTGTTCATTTTATAATAAAACCAAAAACCAGTCAGACAACTTCTGAACCTGTAGTAAATTGCAGATTATGGTTTAAATTTTAAAGTAGGACATTTAATTATTTTCATAACTATATAATATGTCTCTCTAAAAATTCTAGACAAATTGTTTTTTTACTAATTTTTATATTTGTCAAAAATATGTAATAATTTGAGAAAAAAAAAACTGAATTATTTCTCATCCATGCTTCCTACAAAACCTACAAAAACAAAAAGAAAATGGGGAAAAATGAAATACTTTTTTGATGAAGCACAATCCTTCTTTAAACATCATAAGTTTTCTTTGGTAAAATTTATAATTCATTTTCTCTAAGGCTAATAAATATGTGATTATGTATAAATCAACCATAAGAAATTAATGGATAAATCATTAAAGTTAAAATTTATATGATTGAATAATGCAGTATTTTTGTTGTTGGTGTATATGTTTAAGACTTATTTAAAAACTAAGTCCATGCAGAGTAAAGATTTAAATGTAAAAACCAAATAATTGTCCTTTGGTTATTAAAAATTTAAACTGAAGATGAAGAAGAAGAATGACAAAAGATATGAAAAACTGAAATAACTTATGATAACATTTGAAAATTTAAAAAATTTTTTAAACCATTTTTTATTTTTCTCTTTACTAGAATTAGGATATCTAGGCGATAAAAATCATAAAGTAGTTATGTAAGTTATAATTTATATAATCTTTATAACTATTTATATAATTTTTAGTGCTTATATGTCCTAGCATTACTTAATACAGTACTAATTTTGGATTAACATATTTTAATATACTTAAGTCTAAGTTTTAATGAAATTTTTCAAGCTAAATAATTTCCTTTTTAACTATATGATAAAACATCTAATTACACAGTAAAGTAACATTAGATCATATGTAAAGGCAATTTACTCTCTTAGTTTTCCTCATAATTTATCCTAATTATGAGAAATAGAAATCCTGCCTCTTGTTGAGTTGTACCAGATGGACATAATGATTTCAAATATCTCAACATTTGAAATAATTATGTCCATTAGAAATAAACTATTTTATGATTATACTATTATTCAATAACAAATAAATGCAATTATGAATTATGAATGCAATTATGAATTTTAATTAAAATTCTTAATTGCATTCATACTGAATTATTATTTATTTAATATAACACTAATTTCAAGTAAGAAATTATCATCATTTATTCTAATTATTATTATTAAAGTTTCTATCTGTTTATGGTATTTAAAAAATTCATGACTTTAAATATATATACAGTCGACCTCTGTATAACACTGTTGATTTTTCCATTTTATATGAATTCCATGTTGTACGAGTCTCTTAGATTTTACAAATACGTGAGCCGTTCACAGCTGGGCACACGTATTTGTAAAATCTAAGTGACTTGTACAACATGGAATTCATATAAAACAGAAAAATCAACAGTGTTATAGGGGGGTTGACTGTATACTAAGCTAAATACATTGAAATCTTGTCTTATTATTTCAATACAATTTCATAAAATAAGCAGTCTTCTATATGTAACCTTTGCAAAAACTATTATATAAAAAATAGTTAAATCAAAGGTTCCCATGTATATCATATCAATAACATTATGTTACATACATAATGATTTACATTCAAAAGTATTTACTAACTGAAGAGTAACTATACAGGGCAATTCTGAAATAGTGGAACAAACTTCAAGGAATGATTCCTCACAGGAAAATAAAGAAAAATGGTATATAAACATGTCTGGAAACGAGAGGTTTTTGATAAATCAAATCTCTTATGACAATGTTACGTGTATGATAATTTCATTACATAACTATCTTATTAATGCTCTTATATTACATAAATTGATTAAAGGGAGCTAAAGCTCACTTTAATCAATGTACATTAATCTGTACTATTGTAAAGTATTGTACTATTTTAGTAAAGTATGACACACTGATTAAAATAAGATGGAGCTCACTTTAGTCAATATGCACATACTTTACTAAACCATACCTATCTGCACAATGGATAGGTAGAGTTGCTTGGTGGTGTGGCCTCCATGCTCCCTTCATATAAATCTTTTGGACTTTTATCTGAGGTGTCACACTAAGATGCTAGATTATGTCACTCCCACTGACAATGCAGACATGTTGCTATAACATATTATCACCATTTGCAGGGATCCTAGAACCTTCAAAAAAGTGTAGCAGTCCATGCTCTGACATCTCTGCATATAGAAGATATCCTGAACATTTCTTGAAGGAAGATATGTAATTGAGAGAATTATGTAAGAGAGTTAATAAGCGAATATGCAATGAAATCTGTCTTGAACCTGACACTGTCATAAGAAGTTTGATTTCTCAAAAATCTCTCATTTCCTGACATATGTTTATATGCCTTTTTTTCTTTATTTTCCTTTGCGAAATCATCCGCAGGAGTTTGTTCGACTATTCCAGAATCATCCTGTATATTGTCTTGAATTGGATATTTAGCGTTCTGTTCACCAAGTTATTAATTTTACTATTATAATGAAAAAACACTAGGTATTTAATCAAGATGTTATGTCATCTTTAGTTAATTATTGTACTTAAACTTGATAAAGTGTACAGCAATCCTCAATTAATGTTGTCAATAAGTTCGTAGAAACTGTGAAGTTAAGTGAAACAATGTGTAATGAAACCAGTTTTACCATAGATTAAATAATATAGCCAAAAATTAAGTTCCTATGGAATATTTCTAGTCACACAAACACCAAAGACCCAAAATTCCTCTAATATGAAAGACTGAG